TAATTATTGTTGGTGTTCCCTTAAAGTTCTTGTGTGAGGCTCTGTCACCATCTGAGAATGGGCAGACCCCCCACTGCCTTCAGGAAAGCATCCAGACCCCTGTGTCTGTTCCTCGAGTCCTCCACCGTCCAGCCCCACCTCACCTCACCAGCAACTTCCACCACCACTCTTCAAGCTACCCAAGGTTTGAGAGAAATTAAGCTGTTTCTGAAAAACAACTCATCTTTCCTCAGCTTGGGCTCTGGTGGAATGTCTTCCTCACCCACCCCTCCCTTCTCTATTTGCCTCGTCCTTGATGATTCTCCCTCCCCCACCCCGACCCACAGCCCATTAGCCAGTGCTGCAGGCTGTATCAGCTGTTTACCAACCAGCATGGAAGCATCTAAATATTTTTATAAACTCAATACAAATGTCTTGAATAAGTAAATACTTCCAGCAGCCCTTAAGGTTTTCACTGTGACACACTTTGGTGTCTGGTTAAGTTATCTGGTGAAAACATGGCCAGTTCTACTCCATACCAAAACTCGTCTCCTCAGGCAGAGGCATGAGAACGCAGGGAAAGACATCCATCCAGTTTTGCCATCTCAGAAAGAAGGCATTACTAGTTTTTTTTTTTTTTTTCCTTTTTGTCTTTTTTCGTGACCGGCAACGGATCGCAACCCTCAGTGTCGCGCCCGTACCGGACCGGGACCGGCAACGGGATCGCAACTCTCGGTGTTGCGTCCGCACCTCGCTTAGCCAGTGAGTGGCCGGTCTGTATGTGGGATCCGAACCCTCGGCGGGAGCACCACCGCACTCCCAAGCGGTGCACTGTAGCAGTGCGCCACCGGGCCGGCCCCCATCTCCAGTTCTAATGCAAGCTGTCATCTTCTCTTGTCTGAAGGTTGAAAATCGCCATTCTCTGACATCCTCCCCCTCCAGCTCATTCCAGGATCATTCACCGACCTATCATCCCCAGTATCTGCACCTTGAAAACCCCCATTTCGCATATACACTCTTCATGACTCCTATCTCCTATACTTCCAGCTCACTCGTTCTCAAGAACACTCATTTCAACGACCTTTGACCCTCTGTTGAGATCCAAATGTTCTCACTTTCTTTGAGTGAGAACAGGCCCCATCATTAACCCCCATCACTAGCCCCCATCTCTGCAAACACCTGTAGCTCTCTTGCCCCTTTCTGCTCTTGTCATATTTGCCTAGAAAAAACCCAGCCCTGATTAAACACAGCTAGTTTCCTGCACTGTGCCCGTATCCAAGCCCAACTGAATAAGCTTGGAGAATGACGCACAGTTGTGCTAACTGGCCCCATTTTATACCCATGACCACAACCAAATGGGCATCAAGACCTCCCAACAATGCTATTGCACCTTCCTGGTAGGTTTGCTCTTCATTCTGCAAATTGACTACTGCATTCTCTTTCCATTAAGCCTCAGCACCCCTCTAGTAGACACTGTGGTTCTCTCTTCAGCATCCTATCTGCATTATATATCCATTATGAGGTTTGGGTGGGGAAGAATGACCGCACCTTCTGGCCCAGAGATAAGGCCAGGATCACCTCGTTCCTCTTGCCACAGAGGTTGATTCAGGCAGGCTAGGCTTTTTCCATCTGCTTCATGGTATTCCCTGTGCCAAAGAGACCAGTTCAGAAAACGGCATATGACCCATTTGGGGCCAAGGGTATTTTAGGGACACTTTCTGGGAGCTTCTGTGATAGGAGCCTCCTGGCTCTTAAGAGGGCACTGCAGGTGCCAACCCTCTCTCTCCAGCAGGGAGTGGAGTGAGACTAGGAAGTCTGGAATTGCTGCATCTGTTGGGCCACCACGAGGGAAGCCAGGCTTGGGATGAAGCTGACATCTCTGTCAGAAGAGAAGTGACAAGAAACTAGACCCTCTATTGCTTTGTTGAGAGGCTTAATGAAATCCACCCTGGAGCCTGCCTGACTCTACTCTTTCTGGTCAATAAGTACTTGCCATTTTTAAAACTAGTTGGCATTATGTTGTCTGTTACCAAACCCATCCTGACTGATCAGCCCCCTTCCCATCCTCACTCTCAGCTCCTGACCTTACCTCATGTTTTGCTGTGGAAGTAGAAGCCATCAAACAAGAGACCCTTCACCTTCCCACCGCCCTTCACTGTCCCAGTCACCTGCAGCACACCCATTTTCTACCTTCTTCCTTATGGGGGTGAACCTCCCCACTCTCATCTAAGGCCACGCTTCACCTGTACTCTGCCTCTCATCTCAAGGAAGCTTCAGTTGACCCTCTCTCCTGTGTCATTGGTTTCTCCCTGTCCGCTGGGTTGATCCTGGTGGCACATGCGCATGTCCTCCTCAGATTCTAAAACAGTCCCTCCTAGGCCTTGCTAACCACTGGCTCATTTCAGGACCCCACTCTAAGCTAAATATCTCGGTTGATCCTGGTGGCACATGCGCATGTCCTCCTCAGATTCTAAAACAGTCCCTCCTAGGCCCTGCTAACCACTGGCTCATTTCAGGACCCCACTCTAAGCTAAATATCTTGAAAGAGCTGTCCACAGCCTCCACAGCCTCACCTCCCATCCTCACCTCCACCTGCCTCAGCCTGGCATTGGTCCTTGCCACCCCACCTAAGTGCTCTTGTAAAGGCATCCAATGACTTTCACCATCCCACCAATGGCCATTCCAACCTCAGCGGTCACTTTTCTGTTGTCATCTTACTTGACCTCGTGGCAGCCTATATACAGTTGGCCACTCTGTTCTCCTTGAAACACTTTCTTCTCTCGGCTTCTGAGACACCGCACACTCCTGGTTTCCTCCAACCTCCCTGGCTGCTCCGCAGTGTCTCCCACTCCTGTGCTTGACCCCTAAATAACGCCGTGCTCCACGAATGACCATCGGCTTGCCTCTCTGCCCAGGGCACTCAGCCAGTCCCACGGCTTAAAATTTCATCAGGATGACACTGAGTGCCCCCCCATCTGTCTCTTCAGCCCCCAGGTCTTGTCTGGGCCCCAGATTCCTTTATCCCACTGCCTCCCTGGCATCCCCATGTGTCCAACAGTCATCTCAAACAGCACAGTTCAAAATGGGACTCGAGTCCCACCTCTCCCAATCACCACCGCCCCACACACAGAAGTTTCTGCCCATCACAGGAAATGGCACCACCAGCCAGCCAGATGCCGAGGCCATCCTTACTCCTCTCTTTCACTCACCAGCCCCATCAGCAAGTCCTGTCACACTCACCTGCAAGAGGTCTCCTCGTTGGTCCATCTCTCCACGTTCACCCCCTGTCTGCCCACGCCATCACCTCTCACCTGGATGCAAACTAACAGCCACTGTGGAAACTGCTTTGCAGTTCCTCAAAAAGTTAAACGTAGGATGACTATATATGACCCAGCAAGTCCACTCCTAGGTATAGACCCAAAAGGACTGAAAACTGGTGTTCAAACAAAAACTTGGACACGAATGTTCATAGCAGCACTATTCACAATAGCTGGGGGGTGAGGGAGGCAGCACCCAGGTCTTGACACAGGGTGACTGGGCTCTGAGATTGTCCCCAGGTCCTGCCAACAGTGGAGATGGGGAAGGGAGGGGTGTGTTTAGTGCTCCTTTTAAGGTATGCTAGCGAAACCTGCTCTCCGTAAACAGAGAGCAGTCTGGGGGAACATGAGCCAGTTCATGGGCAATAGCTCTAGTGACATTCACATGGCATACACACATCTCTTCTGTTCCACATTCGGGACTTAGCCAAAGTTGTCACACGTTTCTTTTTCTAATGAGGGCACTGAGGCCCTAGCCCTCCCCAGACCAGAACCCCAGTGTGCCCATGAGCCCAGCAGACTCTGCTCCTTCTCCTCCCCATGCCTGCTTAGGGCTGCCATCAGACTAAGACCTTCATAATCTTGACCCTCCAAAGGCCTGCAGGCTGGGCCTTCAGGCTCACCATCATTTAAATTTTAATACTGCTCATGAATACCATTGTTATTCTCATGCAACGATATTATTCATAATAAAGTCCTTGCTAGGTCCCAGACCCTGACACTTGATGTTTTGCTTTTTACCCCTCTCGGCCCTCCCCACGATTCTGTGGGGGAAATCATTACTCCTATCTCACAGATGCAGAACCAGAGTCTCAGAGAGGGCTAGTGACTTGCCCAGGGTCACACAGCTACCACATGGGGCAGGAGTAGGATCTGAAATAGGGTCTATCCCAGCTCTTTCTCCCACCTCCCATTTCCCCTGGACTTCCCTGATTACCTCTAGAACCAGAAATGCTGGCCTGATGCCCCTAAGTCACTGAAATATCCCCAACCCAGGAGGGGGGCTCTGACCACCCCTGGGTGAGCAATGACAGGGCAGTGATGGGTGGAACCAGACGGTGTGATGGGGGAACACAAAGGGTGACATGGTGACATGGGGCTAGGCACACAGGGCATGCACACCACTAACTACACTTACCACCTGAGGGAAGGCAAGAGAGCCCAGAGAGGGGTCCCCGGAGCAGACAGACGAAAGAAGAAGGAGTTATTGAGCTGCAAGACACATTGAGACAGCCCGGGGCCTGGACCAGACACAGCCTCACAGCCCGGGGCTCCCTGTGCCAGTCACTTCACTTATTGGCCTGGTGGGGGTGGCGGTGATGAGAATACCTCTTGAGGGTACCCTGCCATCTGGCAGGGACTGCCTGGGGCATGGAATTTCAACACAGCTTGGGTTGGGAAGAACATATGATCTTTTAGCAATGTCTGCCATGGACACCACCAGGGGCACACGTCTTATTTAAGCTGGTCCTAATCTACCATCTGCCTCAACTGTTCTCACTGCCCTGCCTAGGGGCAGGACCCAGGCAGATCTCAGGTGGATAAAACTAGAGCAGGGCCAAATCTAGAAGCCAAGTTGCTCAACTCCGAGCTCTGCTACAAGATATGTGGCTGCTGAGTGGGAGGCCTCGGGAAGGGGGCTAGATAAAGTGTCGGCCCTTGGACAACTCAGGGTGGGTCCCCCTCCTTCCCTCCCCAACTCACATGTCCGTGTAGGTCCGTGTTGAGTAGCATCAGGGCACAGGTGAGTGTATGGATCCCATCTAAATCAGAGATGTGGCACTCAGTGTGAGCATCCAGCTCGTTCCCACCCCCAGCCACCCACCTGCCTCCCGATAGAGCCAGCCTGGAGGCCTTGGAGACAGGAAGAGGCCAGCCACCTGCCAAATGCACCTCAAGGCCCAGGGCCTGAGCAATGTTCCCCGCCCATCCCCATTGCAGTACTGGAGTCACATGCCTGCCCCAGGTCAGGGTCATCCCGTCCCTTAGAGGGAATCTGATCATTCTGGGCTTGCTCTAGCCCAGATGCCTGCCTCCTGTGGCCAAGTTCACCTTGAACCTCAGACCCAGGAATGGCTCTGGATCCCAGTTCATGTCCCTGCATTGGCCTGTGTCTCCTCCAATAATGGGCCTAGTCCCCCAGTTCCTGTAGTCAGGTTCATCCACAGGAAAAGTCCTGCCCCTAAGAGGGCCCCTACCTACATCTCCACCCACCAGAATTCTCACCAAGAATCAGCATTGTGACAAGGGACCAGGGACAGTGAAGACCCAAAGGACTGAATCTCGAGGACAGAGGACTTTTAGGCATAGGAAAAGCCTATGGGCACAACATTTGGGAGCTCTCTTGCCCAACAGGCAGACCTCATTCCATGTGCCATAGTTTATTCATTCAACATTTATTGAACGCCTACTGTATGCCAGAGAGGACAGACCTTCCTGGCCGGACAGAAGTGGCAGGTGGAGCAGCAGTGGGAGGAGGCCAGGGCCTGGCTGGGAGGGCGAGGTGGGGAGGTAACCATACCTTCCGAGGTGCTGTCATCAGGGTTGCACTGGCAGTACCGGCGGGAGAAGTGCGTAAGAACCCTCTCACGCTCTTGCGTCTCCCCCATCAATGGAAAGGCCTTCAGGAAGGTTCTGAAAGGCAATTCAAGGCTGCTGAAGGTCTTCCAGAACCCCTGTCAATCCAGGTCCTCACCCTGGGCTGGAGCCCCACAGACACACACACAACACCCCTGCCCTAGCCTCTGGGTCTGGATGCCCTCTCCAGGCCCTGGGAGGTCTCCTGGTCCCCTGGATGGCCTCTGGAGCACTGAGGTCAGGTGGCCTGGCAGGCTTTAGAGTTCCAGCCCCCATCACCCTGCAGGGCCCTTTCAGAGTAGGAAAGGAACAGACTGCGAGAAGCAAGGACAGATGAGCACCTCCGGGCCAGCATCAGCCCTTCTCCAGGCACTACCCACTCCTCACTCCCTCCTCTACACTGGGCCCCAATTGCCCATCCCTGCCCCTCGGAATGCTTTTCCCCAGTCACCCCCACTCCTCCATGTGCCACCACCTGGGACCCAGGCCCAATCCTGGCCTCCCTCACACTCCCCCAAACCCCAAGTCTGAGCTGTCACTAAGTCTGGACGGTTTGCTCCTCATCTCCAATCTCAATTCCTCCTCCGCTGCCACCCTCATCATATGCCCAGGGCATCTGCAACATTGCAGGGCACCAGCAGACCCACCCCCGACCTCCCCAATACATCCTCCCTGCGGACACCAAGTTGTCTCTTAAATGCCCATGCACTCAAGCCTTGCCGCTGCTTAAAACCTGTCACTGGCTCCCCAGAACCCTCAGCATGGCATCCAAGCTCCTCATGTCATGCCCTGATCACTGCCCTCTCACTCCCCTCCCATCCCTCCAATGTCACCTCCACCTGCTGCCTCCCCAAATTGTCTTCCTGCTCTGGCAGGACAGGCATCTCACTGCTCAGCGCCTCTGAGCAAGCCAGGCCCGCCAGGGCACACTTTGCTCCTCTGCTGGGCAGCTCTGAATCCCCCTCCAGGCCCAATTCAGAGGTCACCCATCTCTCAGGGGCCCCTGGCAACTGATCAAAAACCAGAGGGCATGGGAGATGGGGCCAAGTCCCCTCACCCAGGACCTGGGCACACCCCTTCCCTTCGGAAAGGGAAATTGCAGCTGAGTCAGTTTGTGCTGCTATCTGTCCTGGGTTCATGAGACGGTTTGTTCCTGGTTCTACTGTGGTTCATCTGGTTTGGGGCCCAAAGTGGCTATGACACCCGCTTTGCTTTGTCCTCACTTGCACTGCCTCCTACCACACCCTGGGGTGTTCGAGTCACATCTCGGCCAACTCTTACACTCTGAGGCTACCCAAGACACCCAAAACTACAGACCACTCCCTTGAAATTCAATCCCAGTCAACTGCTGCACAAAACACTCCTCTATCTGACATCCAGTTTTCCTGCTCTCTCTGTCCCTCCCACTCCCTGTTCTCTTCCCTCATCTGGTCCCTCCCCCTTCTCCTCACACTACACCAGGACTTTCTAAAATCCATCCCCCAACCCAGCTTTAGCCTGTCCTGCCTAGGAGCCATCCATTCCAATTCCTACTCCTGAACCCAAACTCCCCTTCCCTGGGGCTCTTCACCAAGCCCCAACCCAGCACCGCCACCACAAACCCTTGGGCTGTCCCCAGGTCAGCCCCACCACAGCCCACCCTCTCCCCCACATCTTGGCACCACCAGCCCTCCTGCTCTGTCCTCGGTGCAACTTCTCATACCGACCTCCCCTCTAGCCCCACTGCCCAGCCTCAGGCCTTGTCCTCTCCCACCTGACCCTCTTCAGAAGCTGGCACACCCCTGGACCAAAGGCCACCAGCACACTGCTGCCAGCGCTGCCTCCCAAAACACTGCTTTATACCCAGCACCTTCTGTGGCTCCCTAGTGCCTGTACAGTCATCCCTTGCCCTATTGGGCTAGCTTACAAGGCCCTCCAGTCCAGCACCCACACCTCTGATCATGAGCTGACCCCACTGAATGCTTTCCCTGGCCAATCTTCCTCATTCTGGTCTTCAAGGTGCAGCTCAGGGTAGCGTAGCTTGCAGCAGACCAACATTCCACTCAGAACAACAACAACAATATCATGAGCTGACCCCACTGAATGCTTTCCCTGGCCAATCTTCCTCATTCTGGTCTTCAAGGCGCAGCTCAGGGTAGCGTAGCTTGCAGCAGACCAACATTCCACTGAGAACAACAACAACAACGAGTTTTCTTAAGCCACCAGAAAACAGCAGAGGCAACAGAGACCAAAAGTGCAAAGATGCTGGAGAGGAGAAAACTGAGGAGAGGTGGGCTGACCTTCTGCAGCTGCCTTTTCCCCAGGGGCATTGTTGACTATGGGAACAGGCAAGAGGTAAGATGTTAGGTGGCTTCAAGGGGCTGGAGAGACAAACCTGGAGACATGAGAGACTGTAAACACATGGCCAGTTTTCCCTTGAAGATATTTGCCAAATGTCAAACGTGACAGGCAGGAGGCTAAAGAGCTAAGTGGAAAGCCTCTGAGAAGTAGAGGGATTTTTGACAATCTTGCCACACTTTGGAGACAAAATTAGCCTTCAGGACCCATAAAAGGGCTCACCCCAGTGAACACACCAGCCCCTCAATGGAGAACCCTGAGGGCCTTCACCCTGTGAAGAGGGCAAACCCTGAGCCATACCAAACTGCTGCAGCCTCTCCTCAGCTCGTCCCTGGTTGGATTAGGACATGTCCCCATGTCCCATTCTAACCGCCTAGCAGAGGACAAGGTCAGCCTTCTCTGGAAGAACATATGATGACCTAGAGCCACTACAATTTTGTACAAAGTATATAGCATCTGATTAAAATATTACTAAGCATGCAAAGAGACAGGACATGTTATGGGAAACCAAGAAAAAAGAGGCAATAGAAATAGATACAGATGATTCAGAAGCAGATACTGGAGTCAGGAGACAAGGATTTTACAACAATGTGCTTGAGAAAAGAAAGGGGAAGAGGAAGCAGATAAGTGAGAAGATGGAGGATTCCCCAGAATTAATAGAATCTATTAATTTTTTAAGTAAAATGGAAATTCTAGAAGTGAAAAATATAACAGAAAGTAAACACTCAATAAATGGGTTTAATGGCACATTAGACACAGAAAAAGGGTAAGTGAAGTGAACTGAAAGCAGGTCAATAGAAAATATCCCACCTGAAGCAGAGAAAAAAGAATAAAAACTGTATTTTTAAAAAAGTGTAAAAGACACATGGGACACAACAAAAAGGTCTAACATACCTGGACCACCTCACCCCTTAGCTCAGAGACTACTATCCTCTTGGGGCCTAGACTGAAGCAGAGAAAAAAGAATAAAAACTGTATTTTTAAAAAAGTGTAAAAGACACATGGGACACAGCAAAAAGGTCTAACATACCTGGACCACCTCACCCCTTAGCTCAGAGACTACTATCCTCTTGGGGCCTAGACTTGTGTCTGCCCAGCTGGCCCCTGCCACTAGAGCCTGCTAGACACTGGGCTGCATCCACCTGCTCCAACACTTCCTGTTCCTCAGGATCTGCACCTGGACCTCCTGAGGTCTATCTACTCCGAGCCCAAACGCCAGCAAGACCTGTGATTGATCCCATTTTATCATCTGCCTCAGTGACCGCGAAGTCTCTTTACCTCTCTGGTCCATAGTTTCTTCATTTGAAACATAGGAATGATGGCGCCTACCTTACAGGTGGGCTGTAAGGCGGGTAAAGACATAGAGCACCTGGCGGGCAGGAAGTACTCAATGCAGGCAAGTGCTCTGACTCCTTGCCTCTCCTAAAGAGTCACGACTACATATCCACCTTCCTCTCCTCAGTGTGCACCGTGCAGCTGGCACTCGCTGAGTTGCTGGACGCTGCTGTTCTTAAGGCCCCTTCCCCACAGCCTCATCAGACAACACACCCTGTTGTCTGAGTCAGGAGGCTTGCCCAGGGTTTCACAGCAAGCTTATAATAAAGCTGGTATGAGAATCCAGTTGTGCTTCCTACCACCCATGGGTACCGCCCTGTCCCAACCTCACTGACCTGAGCGCTCGGTCCAGAGTCAGGCCCGAGAAGTCGAAGAAACTGAGGTACTCCCCAGCCACCAGCCTGCTGAACTCGTTGCTGCCAGGAGAGCATGGGAAGTTTGTTAAAACAGGGCCCAGCCCGAAGATGACAGAACAATAGGGGGTACTTGGGGAGTGGGCCCCAGGGTGCCCTGAGTCACCCAATCAGACCTGCCCAGCCCCTAGGCTGCCTCCCCTATTGGCCAGTTGGGCTCTGACAGTTCAACCTTGGGCTGGGGGGTCAGGAAAGCTTCCTGGAAGAGGTGATGTCTCAGCCAACACAGGAAAGTAAGTGCCACCCAAGTGAAGGGAGTAGGGAGTGGGATGATGCAGAGTGTCCCCAACAGAGAAAAGTGCACAACATGCCCAAGAAGCTACTAGCAGGGCCATGTAGCCAGAGCCTCGGGAGCAGGAATGGGGGCAGCAAGAGGCGCGGCAGGGAGCAGGGCCTGCAGGCCAAAGGAAGGATCAGGGCTTGACGCTGAGGGGTCTGATGCAGAGATGATCAGGTCTGTAAGTTGGAACACTCTACCTCTGAGTGGAGCCCCATTGGGAAGTTGTAGTGGTTGTCCAGAGAGTGATGAGAGGGTAGGGAGGAGAGAGATTTAGGAGACAGAATCCACAGGACAGGGAGATGGCATGCGTGTGGGGAATGACTGAGAAGGTGGTCCCCCGGGGAGATGTAAGAGCTCAGGACAACAGAAGTGGTTGAACACATCCCCATGAGAGTCGTCAGTCCACAGCTGGTTAATAACTACTCGGGGAGGGGTGAGGGTTGAGTCCATGAAAGAGGAGGGTGCACAGACAGGACCCCCACCCAGGGAGCATGGGTGTGGAGAGAGAACCAGTGATGGAGACTGAGAAACAGCAGCCAGAGAGGTAGGGGTGTGTTGGGGTGTGCTGTCCTGCAGGCCAACAAAGAAAGTGTTTCAAGAAGACTGGACTGAAGAATACTTGTTGAAAATTAGAACAAACTTCCACGTGATACTAATTAAGTCTCGAGCTCTCCCCCCCATTTACAGGACCCATGGGAAATAGAGAAACATGTTTAATAATGCCATGAGGATACCACATCCCAAATGTGGAAAATTCTTCAGGACAAATGGCTCCATTTCTTCAACAAATACATGGCATTTAAAAAGGGAAAGGGATTGTTGGACTGTTGTTGATTAAAAGGGATTTAAGAGACATATCAGCCAAATGCAAAGTTCCATTTCTTCAACAAATACATGGCATTTAAAAAGGGAAAGGGATTGTTGGACTGTTGTTGACTAAAAGGGATTTAAGAGACATATCAGCCAAATGCAAAGCGTGGACCTTGTTTGGATCCTGATTTGAACAAACCAGCATTTTTGAGACAATCAGAGAAAATTAAATACAGACTGAATGTTGGAGATATTTAAGAATTTTTTTAAATTTTGTTAGAAATTATAATGGAATTATGATTACATTTAAAAATCCTTATCAGATAGAGATACATACTAAAGTATTTATGGATCAAATGGTAAACTACCTGAAATATGCTTTAAAATAGTCCAGCAAATGGGGGGAAAAGAAGGTGTGGGGTAATAGATGACACGAGAATGGAAAAATGCTAATTTTGAAGCTGAGTAATGGGTACGTGGAGTTTTACTACATCATTTTCTCTGCTTTTGTGTATGTTTGAAATTTTCATAATAAAAAGTTTAATTAAAGAAAAAGAAAGGAGTGGCTGGTGGTGTCAGCACTGCCTAAGGGGGCTAAGGAGAGACCTGGGTAGCAGCCACCACTACTCTTGGCCAGAGAGGTTTCTGAAGGGAAAGAAGGAAGGGAGAAAGCCAGTCTGGAGGGGCTGAGAGTGGAGAAGAAGAGAGGACAGAGGTCACCCAGGGCAGAAAACCCAAGAATGTTGGCTGTGAAAAGGCTGGAAGAGAAAGTGGGGATGAGGAAGGGGTTTTTGTTTTTCAGATGGGAGAGACCTGAGCACAATTAATTGCTGATGGGAAGACCTCTGTAGAGAGAGTGGTTGAAAAGACAGGGGAGGGAAGGGATTAACCATAATGAAGTCTCCTGAAAGGATGTCATTAGGGTCGGGGGTTATAGCCCAGCAGGAGAGGTGGGGCATCTCAGTTGACATTTCTGGACTGGGGCTGTTGTGGGGGCCCCGCTGCAAGAGCAACACGGAGGCCGCGGAGGGCACCAGAGGCAGGAGGAAGGAGAACAGGATTTGGGAACCAAGCCGCCTGCAGGGCCTCCCTGAGGCCTAGAGCCCCTTAGTCAGCTTAACTCATGGGCAAGGGTCTGGACTGTCTCCCTCAGCCTTGTGAGCAGCTCTCAGGAGGTCAGACCTGCTGCTGCACATCTCAGAGCATTAATGCGGGAGCTGGGAGGCACTCTGGAAAGAAGGGCCAGAGTCAGGTAGACACGCCAGTGGTCAGACCCACACACGATGTGCCGTCAAGACTTCCTCCCTCTCACAGTCCCTGTCTGTCCCCCAACCCCCTCAGGGCTCCCACCTGGCTAGCTCCTTTTGCACCCAGTCTGAAGGCCAGGGCTTGTGCTTTGGGGGCTTCAGCCCCTTCAGCTGGTCCCAATAGACAGAAGAGCTTAATGAGGGCCAGGAACCCCTTCCTGAGCTCGGGGTCCCAGACATTTCCCACCCCCACACCTCCACTCCAGGTTCTCCTCTCTCCCTGGTGCCACTAGCTGGGCCACCAGCTCCTGCCCAGCTAGCTGCTCTGTCCTTACCACAATCTATTGTGACCCCATAACCACATCCCACACCCCACAGCCCACCACCACCCCACTCCCTGAGAGCATCAGCCCTTGCCCTAGCAGCCCAGAAAGGAAAAAGATTTAGGGCAAGGCCAGGAATGAGGACGATAGTGGGAGGAGGCATCCTTGGGGGACTGTTGGAGCCACCCCAGCATCAGGCACCCCTGAAAGAAGTCACCCACACCCCCTTCAGACTGAGGAAGACACCAGATTTGCCTGGAGTGGGAGAAGGCACTCACTTCTTGCCCAGCTGCCGGGCCACGTCGCAGCGCTGGAAGCCCTCAAGGTGGTAGAGGCGGCGTGCCAGCCGGCGAGCAGCTTCACTCACCCCCTGGCACCCATTGGCCAGTGGGTCCGTGCTACCAAGCTCCAGCCCTTCAGAGCTGCTCAGCTCTGAGTCTGAGTCTGACAGGCCGTCCTTCAGGCTGGGGTCACTGCAGATGGAGAGGAGGGGAATCAGTAGCCCAGGGTCAGAGGCCCTGGGTGAGGCTGGAAGGTCTGCCCAGGCCTCTGAAAACCCATGTGGGAGAGAGCAGAGAAAGAAGCTCCACTGCAGCAGGAGGAAATCAAGTGAGACTTTCAGAAGATCCTCTCAACTGAAATCCCTACTCAGCTCCCTGACCCCACCTGAGCTGAGATAACCTGGAAGAGGAGAATGGAACCTCAGGACAAGAGGGGGAAGTCTGGGTGCAGAGGATGAACAAGGTGACCTTGGAGAGGGCTTGCTGACTCTGGACACTGGATTGCTCTAATTTGCTTTGCCTCCTCTGGGTCTCAGTTTCCCCATCTGCCCCATGGTTCTTCCAGCCCCCAGCCTGGGCCCTGCCTCACCTGGCTGAGTTCAGCAATTTGTCCGTGTCCTCCTCATCATCATCCTCGTCCCCGCCTGGGGCCTGGGGTCCATCTTCATGAAATCCATTGGGCACAGCCGTGAGAGACAGGCAGCTCAGGACGTTCTCTGAGCGGCTGCTGGAGATGGAGCACCGCAGGGGACTGCCCAGCTCCCCATCACCACCAGCTGCCCCCATGTCGCCCTCAGACCCCATGTCCCCAATGCCCAACCCAGCCCCTGGCTCAGGGCTATCATGGGCCCTCTGCTGGATGAGGGGAGTGAGAGGGGCTTCAAAGCTGACACAGCTGTCGCTCTCGTCTGTGAGGCTCAGAACATCTAGGGAATCGAGGCTACTGTACTGCATGCCCCGCAACAGCTCTGACTCCAGAATCTTCTCAAATGTGGTGCTGAAGCCATCCCGCACATCCAGGTCCCCAGGGCCATCCAGCCTGTGGGATGCAAGGAGCCAGTCACCATCCTGCCAAGGTGTTCTGCATAGAGGCATTGGTGACTGCCCCAAACTGTGTCTGGGAGCTCGCTGGGGGCAGAGAACAGGCATGGATTGTGTCCTGTTTACTTAATCCTTCAGCCAGTACCTACACTAGGTGCAAATGTTGGGCTGGGTACTGGGAAGGCAACAGTGAAAAGGACAGATATGTTCCCCACATCCCAGGGCCTGACCAGGGCCTGGTCCACAATAGGTATCAAATATTTGTCCACATGAATGAATGTGAGGCCTTTTCCCACAGCCTGGCCCAGGAGCTGCTCCCTCCGGAGCTCCCAGAAGGACATCTCCCTATCACAGCTAGCATCATACTGGTCATAATTTGCTGTCCCCACAGCCTGGGAGGATCTTAGCTCAGCCCACCATACCCCAGCTTTAACATCCCCTCCTCAGAGAGACTGAGGGAGGCAGTCTCCCCATTACTCTCTATCCGGGGTATCTCTTCATTTCCTCCTTAATCCTTTGAGCATGTCATATTCTGTCTGTTCCCCAGCACTGCCCCCAGAACAAAGGCTTCCTGAGACCAAGCATATGCTTGCCAGCCCCGTGGCCCCACCTCCCAAGCCCTGTGCTGCCCCGAGAGAGGCCCGTGCACCCTGCACCGGCTGTTCTCTCTGCCCAGAGTGCTCTTCCCCCAAACTGCAGCCCTCCCTCCTCATCGCATTCTCAGTGAGGCCTGCCCTTGCCACCCTGTCTATGACTGTGACCTGCCCCCCAAACTCTCCAGCCCCTTTTTTCTACTGTGTTTTTTCCAAAGCACTTATCCACTCCCAACCTACTATATAATTATTTATTATTTTTATTGTTTATTGTCTGTCTCTCCACTGGACCATAAGCTCCATGAAGGCAGGGATTTTTGTGTGTTTTGTTCATTGGGTATGTCAGCACCTGGAGTCAAGAGCATCACACAGTGAACTGAGGCCTCATGAGAAGATTCTTATCTACTGGGGAGATGCGCAGGCAACAGGGAAGGAAGGGGATCGAGGAAAATCAAGACCAAGAGAGGGGGACAAGAAAAAAAGAGAGATACAGAGAACATGAGAGAGGTAAAGAAAGAGCAAGAAAGACAAAGATAAAGGGAGACAGATACAGAGAGGTAGCAAGAGGAAGAGACGCAGACGAAGCACGAAGCAGGCTGAGCCCGGGCCATTTCAGATCAATCAAGGCCCATCTTTTGCAAACAAGTGCATCCCTCCCTCCATGTTGGCCTCTCCCTGAGGATCTGGCTGTGTCCCACTTCTTCCCCAGTCCCTGCTGCCTAGCAGAAACTGAGCTGCATTTGGAGGACTAGGAAGTGTCCCTTCCCCTCTAACACCTCCTTGGACTCCCAGTGCCTAAGATTCTGTCCCAGTGTGCTTCCTGGAGACACATACTGATCTGCAAGACAAAGAACTGAAGCCACAGCCACCTCCCACCCCAGCCCCAGCAGGAGTTGAGACTGCAGCCCCCTTAGGCCCTCCTGCCAGTCTTCCTGGAGACACATACTGATCTGCAAGACAAAGAACTGAAGCCACAGCCACCTCCCACCCTAGCCCCAGCAGGAGTTGAGACTGCAGCCCCCTTAGGCCCTCCTGCCAGGGAACAAAGTGGGGAGGAGTGCAGAAATCTAAAAAGTGGCAGGATGTCTGGCAGGGGCTGGGGTGGAAGTTGCTTCCACTGACCTCCAGGAGGAGGGGAGGGGAGAGAAGGGTTGCTGCCCTGGCCTCCGGGGCAAATACCCAAATTCTGCGCAGCAAAGACAACTTTGCCAGGCCTGTGCTGGGTCCTAGAGACACCCAAACAAGACAGAGCCCTGCCCTTGGGGGGCCCTCAGTCCATCACCACAGCCAGAAATGATACCTCTATCCCCCACCCCCTCATGCAACTGAGCAGACCTGCGAGGTGGCCCTGACGGGCTCAAAGACCATCAGCCCAATCTCCAAACCTTTATCTGCCTCCACCTCCAGCCATCCCATACCACCTACCTACAAACAGTGTGCCCCAAGAAGCCCCAGGGCCCTGCCCCCACCCCACTGCCAGCCAGGTGGCCAGCCAAGGCCATGCCTGGATGGAAACTCTTATGGCCATGGCACACCTGGTACATACAGCCACCCAACCCCTTGTACTCACCTTCCTACCCACAAAGACCCAGAAACACTTCTCCCTACACGCCCCCATACACACCCAAATGTGCACCCATAAATGTACAGGCCAGGCACACACCAATGCCTCCACCCACAACCACACAGCCCCATACTCATGAACATGTTCCCTCATCCCTGTGCACACACCGATGCACAGGCCAGGCACACACACACACTCACACACTTCCCGCACACCTGCCTGCTCTGGCCAGGTCCTGCAGCTATGAACCTAGAACTTCTAAATGCTTTCTTTTCTCAGCCCACCCTGGGGCCTTCTAGACATTCCCCTGCCCCATCCTCACCCTCTTTGTCCAACTGGCACCCCCAAGACTCCAGGTCTCTTCACCTCCTGCTGAGGGTAATAGAAATGGAGCTATAGCTCCAATAAGTAGGAATGAAGTGAGATTCATGGTAGAACTTCCTGATAGCAACCTCAGGAGAGGGTAGCTGAGAGGGATTTTCCCACAAAGCCTGCTTTTGGTGTCAGTTGCAGGACTGGGAGATCCTCATCTCCAGGAAGCAGAGACAAGGACCAAATGACCTTTCACACTGAGGCATTTTAAAAGGACTTGGAACTGTAATGGCCAGCCTGGGATAGAAGGAGTAAGGCCCTCCCACACCACATAGACACAGCTCATGATGGTTTGGGGACCCAAGGGCACAAAAAGCCTGCTGGCCTTTAAATTCCCTCTCATGTCTCTGTCCTCCCAAAACACCCAGACACGGCAAAACAGAGACATGAAATCCACATTTCATGTGTGAGAAAAACAAGAACCAGAGAGATTAAGTGGCTAAGCCCAGGCCACACAGCAATAGGGCAGCCAAATGTGAGCCCCCATTCTCAGACACCCACTTACCCCAGCTGAAGATCCTCTGGACAGAGGCTCCTGGAGGCATCGTCCCTCTCCGCCAGCCCGCCAGCCCTCCAGGCCCTGGACTCTGTTGAATCTTCCAGAATGTTCGAGTCTGGTCCCAGGACTAGGCCATTGATGAGGGAGAGGTCAAGGCTGAGGCTGTGGAGGGCCCTGTCCTTGTCTTTTGTGGGCTCCTCTGTGTCTGCCAGTGTGCCCCTCTTGTCATGCCCTGGGCTGCTGAGGCTGCTGTTCAGGCCCTCACTGGCTGCCATTCCATGATGGACCCCCGGCTCCTCCTCAGGCTCCAGGCTGGAGTCCCAGGTGGCCCCACATTCCTCAGGCAGTACAGATGGGAGCTTATCCTCATCCATGGCAGCCACTGCTCCTACCCTCTCCTGGCTGCTCCTGGGACTCTACAAGACCTGGCAAAAGATGGAGTAATGAAGGATTCAATCAAACAGAGCAGGGCTTGGGGGTCTGAAGCCCAGCAGAGCCAGCACCAGGCCAGCCTGCCTGAGGGCAGGAGGATGGCCAAGAGGCTCTCCTCAGGGCCCTTCCAGCTAGAGCCTGGGTTCAGATCATGGCCCTCTGACTGCCCTGTGCAGGCCAGCCACGCTCACCTCTCTCTGGACTCCAGCCAGCCCCTCGTGCCCCAGTCCTGCCTTCCCTGTTACCTCCTGTGTCTCTGTTGTGCCCTCTAGAGTTCACCAAAGCCCTCTGAGGAAGATCCAGTTGAGGAGGAACTGGGGAAGGATCCAGTACCTCTCCAGGTCCCCCTTCCAGTCCCACTGGTGACAAAACCCTAGGCTGACAGCAGCCCACTTGCCTCTTCCTTGTTCTCTCACCTGGGCTCCAGGAATTGGAGATGAGTGAATCTTTGTGGTTGATGGAGGGAACTGGGCTGGGGGCTGACTTTAAGGGAGGGTTGACAGGAGGCAAGGAAGTCAACAGAAGTGCAGCTTTATCAGAGCAGGGGCCAGAGAAGCCAAAGTGAAGCCTGAAGACAGCCATGGGAGGCCCAGCGTGAGGCGCTGTCCAGGGTGCTGGGCGGGTGGGGAGCCACCTGGGAGCCTCAGGGAGAGCTTAGGCTGCCTTTGCAGCGCCCAGTGCCCAAAGCCCTGGCTTCCTATGAGGAAGAAAGAGGGGGCCTGGGGTTCCCCTCCACACCCGGGTCCCCACCGGAGCTCATCCAGCCTCGAGGAGTGACTCATGGGGAGGCTGCCAGGGCACTCTGAGGAGAGCACTGAAGGGGAGTCAGGCCCTGCTCTGTCCAATTCACCGTGTGACCTCATGTGGGTCCAGATCAGGTCTGCTCACTGCCTTGCCCAGGCCAGCCCCACTCTCCTCTGCCTTGCTCTGGGTCTGTTTCTTTTCTGCAAAATGAGAAGACCCACCTTACCCACCATCTCCACTCCCACCCCCACTTAAAATGGATCAGGATCAGCCCACATTTCCCAGAGGCTTCCTGCCCAACTTAATTCCAGCTGGGGAGGGCAAATGTAATGTGTAAGGAGCTGTGCTCTGGCTCTCCCCTCCCCCTCTCTGCCCCTGGTCCTGCCTAGACTAGCTTATCCCCACCCCCCACCCCCAATGACCTCTGCCAGTAGGGACAAAGATCAGCCCCTCCAAACACTGGAGAGATGCAGAGATGCAGGAACCCGGGGCTTTTCTTCCAGTTCTGGCTGGGCCACTTCCTTCCTACCCTCTTTGGGCTTTTGCTACTCCAAGCACCCCTACTCTCCTCCAGCGAAGGGATGCTGGGGGTTCAGGAGAGGCTGGAGGAGGAGAGGAATGGGCCAGCCTTCTGCTGCAGCAGAATGAGCTGCATGTACAGCAACAGGGATGTACGTAAGACCCAGACTTCCTATACTTGCCTGGTCATAAGCATCACCTGAGGGACTTGTTAAAACACAGATCACCGGGCCCTACCCCAGAAATCCTGAACCCAAACCTACAGGGAAGGGATATGGTAATCTGTATTCCTATAATGAGGCAAGTGTGGGAAACACTGATTTACACTCCAGGAGGAAATTCTCACTTAGAGAAGATGAGCCCAGAGAGGAAGGTGGGTATACCTCTCTGGGGACTCTGACCCAAACCTACAGGGAAGGGATATGGTAATCTGTATTCCTATAATGAGGCAAGTGTGGGAAAAACTGATTTACACTCCAGGAGGAAATTCTCACTTAGAGAAGATGACCCAGAGAGGAAGGTGGGTATACCTCTCTGGGGACTCTGGGACCTTGAGAGAAGCTCAGCCACCACAGACCAGCTAAAATTCATTTCACCCTGGGTTTTCTTTTTTTTTTTGTCTTTTTTCGTGATCGTGACCGGCAATGGATCGCAACCCTCAGTGTCGCGCCCGTACCGGACCAGGACCAGCAAGGGGATTGCAACCCTCGGTGTTGCGCACGCACCTCGCTCAGCCAGTGAGCGGCCAGTCTGTACGTGGGATCCGAACCCTCGGCGGGAGCACCCCAAGCAGCACACTGTAGCAGTGCGCCACCGGGCCGGCCCTCACCCTGGGTTTTCAAACATGGAGTGGATGAGAGACAGCAGGACAGACAGATTTGGGGTCCAGCCCACCCACCCTGATTGCCACCTCTTACAGTTTTGACTACTACATGACAGTAAAATTTTACTTAAAAAAAAAAAAGCACATAGATTTAAAAAAAAAAAAAACAACTAAAGAGCCAGGCTCTAGAATATCTGGGCCCTGATCCTAGGACATCTGGGACCCCTGGGGGTTCAACACTGGGTCAAGGATTCTTTCTGGTCTGCCCTAAATCCTTGCTGCTGCCGTTGCTATTTCAATCTGTTCCCTCCAGTTGTGTACTCAGAAGAGGAAGAACAGGTCACTTCCTCAACTGAGACTTCTTGGTGGGAGGAGGTGGGAGGACACATTTTAAGAGGAGAAAGCAGAGAGAGTGGAGCATTTTGGCCCTCTGCCTGAGTTCTAGTCCTCTGGCCTGCTTTCTAGTGCAGGGGCCTGGATAAGCATTGGCTCTGGGGCACAGGGTTTCCACTCAACTCCACCAGGATGCTTTGGCTCACACACTCACACACAAAGGCTGAGGCTGGCAGAGTGGGGTGTGCCCCCTTTGGTCAGGGCTCTGCCTGAGCCCCCAGTGAAGCTTGAGATTTGAGAGTATAGGTAGTTTCACTTGATGCTCAGTCTACACCAGCCCCAACGTCAGGGTTGTGGATAAATCAGGACCTCTCGAAAGACCCCTACATCACCCCTCAACTTCCAGCAGCTGCCTCAGGCTAGCTCCAGCCCTACCTGCCCTACCATATCCTCCCGCAGCTGAGAGTGGGATGGAGGTTCTGCCAACACTGGGCACTAGGCCGTGTCCTTGGTTTCTGGGGGTGGGTAGACAAGGGGTAGCATTGAACTCTACTCTGGGCAGGGGGCCCAGAGTCCCTGCCTGGGCTGAGGGCCAGCTGAGCCCAGAAATAGCTGAGCCAGGACCCCCGCCTTGCTGGGCCCAAGGAGGGGGACATAGAGGGGAGACTTCAGGACAGAGGTGTAAAGCAATGGCCCAAGTCCTCACTCTGAACCACTATGTGCACTGGGACTCCTAACTGCACCCTCTGGCCTTTGTGAACCCATCTGCAGAATGGGCCATCACCTCTGTTCTCCTCCCTCCAGGGCCAGTGGGAGAACTTATCCCCATGAATGCAAAGACAGCTGAGATAAAAGGAAGAGCCAGCTCACTACAGAGGTCAAGGATGAAAGGCAGCTATACTCCACTCCTTCCACCACCAAATTTGACAAATGGGGAGAGTGAGGCACAGAACTCAGAAAGGCTTTGCCTGAGGTCACATAGTGAGTAGCTGCCTCTAGAATCTAGGAGTAGCTTCCCTCTTCAGCCATATGGGTAGAGATGCAGAATTAGCCCCCAGTTTCCCAGCCCCCCACCAGACCCTCCCATGAGATCAAGGACCCAAATTCTCAAACAGGAGAATCAACCCAAAGCAGTGACCCTGCCCACCTCCAGCCCCGCTGGCAGAGCAGGGGAGTGGGGAGCAGCTGGACCACCAGGCACCCATCCCAAGGAGATGCCTGCAAATGACAGACTGGCAATGGCCAAGATCCCCCGCAGAATCTCTCAGCCTGATCCAGGCACCTCTCCAGGCAGGGGCTCCTACTATCCACAGCCCTTGGGATGGCCTTGGGCTCAGCTGCCTCTTTTTCAACACCAGCCAAGATGGGGACCATGATGAAGTGAAACCCTGGCTGAGCCACAACTGACTGCTGAGCCAAACACTTTCTGGGTCTCGGCTGCTCCTAGGACAACCCCATCTCTCTCCCCACTCTCCCCTTGGCAGCTGGAGTGAGCTGTGAAAGCATCACATCCTTCCCTCACTCCTAACCCTCTAGAATCCCATCTCCCCAGCATGGCCTAAAAAGTCCCTGTCTGAGCTGTTTCTGCTGCCCTCTCCCCACCCCCCTCCCTCCCACCGCTCATCAGTCACACTGGCCTTCTTTCTGCTCCCTGAGCTCATTCCCACCTCAGGGCCTTTGCACCAGCTGTACCCTTGGCCTAGAAAGCTTTTTCCCTATATCTTTAAATGGCTGCCTCTTCTGCATTCAGGGCTCAACTCCAATGCTGCCTCCTCAGAGAGGCCCTCTCTGACCACAGGCACTCTATCATGTTCCTCCAAGGAGCATCACAGCACTAAGCAGAACTGGAACTCCCTTTTCTATCTGTTTACTTATTTCCTGCCCATCTCCCTGACTAGGATATACATTCCATGAGGGTGGGGACTGTCATGTTCATGGCTTTCTCCCCAGACCCTAGCACAATGCCTGGCATGCAGTGAGCACTTTTAAATATTTGTTGAATGAATGACCTAGGGATTATCATCATCCCTATTTTTGGCAGAGACTAAGAGAGGTTGAGAAACATGCCTAGGATCACAAAGCTGGAAAGCAGCAAGGCTGAGACTCTGTCTAGAACACTATAGACTGTTGTAGGGATAATCTTACAGTGCTGGGATCAAAACCAAGGACTGTGGGAAACCCAAGCTCAGGCTGGGGGAGGGGGAGCCTAGCCAGGAGGGCTCCAGGAGACAGCATGCTCCATAAGGCATGAGGTGAGTGCCTGGGTGCAGACCCCTGTGTGTGTCTGTGAGCAAGCATACGGGCAGGCATTTGTGGTTGCATACACACACACTCAGACACACGCAAACACACACAGAGGGAGCTGGGCAGCCACTCATGAGGCAATCCCTCTGGGTGGTGAGGTAAGGATGAGGAGCCTGCAGTCTGAGGAGCAAGGTTAAGGGCATCCAGACCTACATTACTGGGCATCCATGATCAAAGCCATTCTACTTTGAGAGAAGCCAGGGACAGAGAGGGGATAACCCAGAGCTTCAGGCTGGGGTAAAGAGTGTAGAAGACTGGCACCTACACTGA